GTGGGGGGGGGGGACCCCCGCACCCCTAGATTCCAACAGAAAGTGCATTCGCCACTTACAGGATGGAACGATGCTTTATAAACCGTCTCTAGAGAATGGAGTACGAATTTAGCCACGAGAAAAAGTCCTGCTGTGACAGGAATTGAACCAAAGACACTGGGATTAGAAAGCAAGCATCTTATCTTAACCACTAAGCTATTCAACTCCACTCCATTTAATATAAAACTGCCTCATTGAAAGAATCGCCATGTTTATCATTTAACAAGATTTTTTATATTTACCGATAATATTTCACTACAGTGTACAAATGTATAAACATCTGTAAAGTTTGACTTATTCTACGTTGATAAATCGAAATATTAACGATTTATAATTAGTTGTTTTTGAAGTTAAACTTGCCAAAGCCGATTTTTCCAAACTCGCATAATAAAGAAGTTAAACTTGTTTTACATGCCAAATTGTTGTTTTCCATTAATTTACGATCTGTAAGTCGAATTTCATCTAAGTCAAACAATTTTTCAATGCCATTTTGGATTCCACTTAGGCAAGTTCAACTTTATCAACATTTTACAAGAATAGTCTACCTGCTGAAAATAATTGTCGAAGTCAAAATCGCCAAAAAATTTGCCATCAAGTTGAGAAATTGTTTTTTTTTCCCTTAATTTTATAAAAATAACACCCCACAGATAAATGAAACATAAAAATCAAGATTCAAATCAACTTTATTGTTTGTAATACATAATAAAACATATACAGAAAACTGAATTACACAGGATTAGTATTACATAAGTAAATACATAATAATTGTCACGATCATGTGTACTACTTTACTGTAGTAAAACCTCCATACAGTTGAAAGCGACAACTACTTAACACAAGAGAGGCATTTTCATACTGCACAATGCTTCAATGAATGATAACAGTGGCATCGAGAGGGGGGTCTGGGGGAGGGGTCGCTGCCCCGGGTCTAATGGGGGCCCGGACAAAGATGAAAAATTTTCGGGGTAAGAACAAAATCTCCATAGGGCCCGAGCCCAAGCCAGGATGAAAACTTTTGTTGTCAGATTTAGGAGGAGACTTAATTTGGGGAGCGGCCGAATGGGGGTTCCAAGTGAAGGGGGGCCCCATGTGAGGTGTTGCCCCAGGGCCCTTACTGGCTCTCGACGCCACTGAATGATAATTATGATTACAAAGGGAGTAGGCAAGTCATTAGGAACTTACCCCATAATGCTGCATAGTTCGGTTAGGAGGGGTAATAGGACCTTAGTGGAGTAACGTTACCACCCCAGGATGCACAGTTTAGTTAGGAGAGGTTTATGCGGTCCATTCACTGGCATATTAGTCCAGTCCGAAATGTAGCAATATCAGAGGTTGCATTTTTTTTTGCTATATTTTTTTAAAATTGGATATGATGTAGAGTAGACATAGAGAAATCAAAAAAGTATGTGCAACATTTTTTTTTTATACGTAAGGGGGGTTGCCAGCAGTTTCAAAATGGCCGCCATATATTTCCAAAATTTTAACTAATACTGTAAGTTTTTGCCATTGAATGATGTTATTAAATTAGAAATACTTTTATATCAGTGTTAATATAAAATAATTAATATTTTACATAAGTATTAATGACATAAATTAAAAACTACTGCTATTTCTATTATTTTAATCACGTTTTTAGTCTAACTTATATATTTTTATATATACTATTTTATAAACAATTGTACATATGCGATTTTTTAAAAGAAAGCATAAAATAATATTATAACAGCATTTATAAATGCTTACTTTAAATATAGTTGACAAATGCTGCCACTTTTTTTAACTTTAACCTCCAAAAAAGAGATTTGACATTGTTGGCCTTCCATACTAAAACAATGACATCTGGCTTTCATGAACTGCACTGATAGGATGAAAGTTTTACAAAGGAAATTAAGTAAACAAAGTTTGCTTACTTTAGCTTATACCACTTTCTTGACATAATTGGTAGGTTGATATTGTTTATTAATACTACATAGTATGATT